AAATAATTGAAAAAAATAAATCAATTAGTTACAAGATATAATCAAGGCGGAAAAATTCTAAATTTATAACTTTTTTCAAATTATAGCTTGAGTAGTAGTGTATTTCCGCGCAGGAAGGATGCTCTTAAATCAAGGGGACCTCAAATGTTAAAATGGGCCTACTACAATTTTAATGCGAGCCGAAAATCCACTTCCTATCATCGTGTTTTTAACTGGTTCATAGGTCTTACAAAAAAGAAGTTGGTACCAAAAATATTTAGAGATGTCACTCAAAGTTTAATAGAGTTTGAGTCCTCTCAAGTGCTAAATCCGCCAATGATCTTGAGTATTTTATTACATACTAGTAATAATAGAGAATCATATTCATAAATAGTTTTAAATTGCACCATTAATTTAAGTTGATATAAAACGCTTGGAGCGAAATATATGTAGAGCTGGAAATGTCGACTTATTATACCAGATAGTAATTTAAATAGTAAAATAAATGTTCCAAGCAAATTAGAAACCCCAACGTTCCCATGCACAATCCACCAAACTATCTCATTTTATTACATGACCGAGATAAAACCAAACGGACAAAGAATGCTGGGAGCTCGCTGCAAAATTCATTTGCAAAACCGCAGTATCTCCAAGCTATGCGGATATTAGGTAGATTACGATATCATGATTTTCGAGCTACTTACGTACCAAAAAAGAGATTTTAATAATACTACCGTAAAATAAACCGTACAAAAAGAGACTGTACTAACATTAAAAAAAAAACAGTAATTTATGTATAAAAATAATAACTTTGTGTACCAATTTTATAAAATTTATTTCTATTATTCTGAATTACATTTTGAATCGAATCCAGACTATCCGAGGTAGTATTATTTATAAGTAAATAGATGAGGGCTATATCATCAGCAATGTGGAGGTTGAGGCGATTCCCGTTGATGTTTATATCTTTTGTTACCACGACATGTTTTTGAATACGTCCACCATTGCCAAGGTGATGAGTTTGAGCATCATCTCGTCCAAACTTTTTGACTTTGACTCTTGATTTTTACTTCTCTTGTGGTCAATTCTGATTCGTAACGTAGTGTTATTATCTTAAAGAAAACCTCCACGCAGTTGGTCCGAAAATGAACTTACAAAGAACAAAAATTATGACCCCAAACGAGAGACAGGTAATCGATAATCACATACTCGGAAGACTGGATGAACACATATATCTAGGACATTATATAAAATTGGGGAAGGATAATCACCAGAGATCACATGACGTATCGGTTTGATTTGGGCAGCTTTCAGTTACATTCTTCGAGAACCAAAACATTCTATAAACCTCAAGAGGAAGGTATATAACACGTGTGCTTTGCAAGTTGGGCTCTAAACTGCGATTGCAAATCAACTTCGAGTGAGTCTGTCAATTAGCTATAGGTGAGCAATGTTGGGGATCAGTTTGAGAGATCGCATCAGAATGAGAACGGGAGACATAGACGTGATGGGACGAGTCACACAACTGAAATGCCAGTGGGCGGGTCACGAGGAAAGGAAACATCTTAAATGGTTCAAGACGCTGATGACTATGAGAGTCAAAGAGCAGCAGAGGTCGTCCACAGACAAGATGGCAAGATGACATGCAGCGGGAAAAAAATGTATACAGATTGCACAGGAAAGAATCACTTGGAAACAAATGGAAGAGGTCTATATCCAGGAGTGGATGCTTACAGGCTGAATAAGAAGTCCTTATAAAATTATTTTCAGATTATAAATAAATATGTACAAATTAATATAGGAAAATAACGTTATTCGAAATATATTTTAATTTCAATACTTCAATTAATACACGATTGTTCAATAAACTGTCAATTTTTTAAAACAGGTTACTGCCCATTTGTTCGAATTTTTAAAATATTGACGAATTTCATAAAATGTTCATTCCCTTTATTATCACACATTTTATTTATCCATTCGTTTTTCTGCCACATTCAGCAATGCAATGAAATTATTTATATGACCAACGGTATACCGTTGACAGGTTATGTCACGGTATTTGAAATGTATAATTGATTTAAATTCGTTCCGTAGGCTGGACGGGTAATTATCCCGTTTGCAGCGAATTCGCATGCAAAGTTGGCTGTAATTCGGCGCTTTCATTATTATGTAACAAAACCGTCGTTAATTAAACCAGAGGGGTGGCGCTCGTCGTCATCGCCAAATAAACAGATATTTGTGAATGTTACTCTGTGTGTGTGTCCTATGCTTAATGCGACTAAGCTTCCGTTAAATTGCCTTAGCGGAAACATAGAGCCTTTATAGTCCCATCAAAATCACTTCAAACAATGTATTTGTGTGCATCATTAGCAAATTGCAAAATGATTCAGATGAACACCTTCTCCATTTACCTTTGATATTATATTCTATTGATTATATTTCATGCTTATGAACGTTCGAAACTTGATCGCAGCAATGCTTTTAACACTATCAACCCCGATATGCATCTAGTAAATGCATAATTTCAATTTAATAGACATCAAATGTCACCTGAAGAATTTTATGTAAATTTGTTCAACTATTGGAAAAGGTATATAATAATTATGATATCTTAACTTCTTGATATAGAAATAAAATATATTTTACTTCAAAATGTTTACGTTGATTTCTTAAAGTTCAAGTTAATGAAAACGATTAAAAATAACGAAAGAACGAATGAAAGAATAACTGAAATACTAAAAACTACATTTTAATAGTATTTATTCATACTTTTTTTAGAAAGTGAAAAGTGGAAAAATATTTTACTTTAATCTTCTCAAAACCAAAGAGTATGAAATAAATGGCTTTAAGTATGGATCTTCCTGGATCCACTGCTGGATAAACTATAGCTTCAGAACTTTTGTTACAAAACTACTTATAAGTATATCGTTAAAAAATATGATTTGTGTAAAACAATAATAAAAGTTATAAATTTTTAAATTACTAATAATTATTATTTTTTCAGTATAAAAAAATGAAGATTCGAGCATAAAGTTTAGACGTTTTCTTTCACAAAATTGAAGCTGACCGTAATATTTTTGAATCTAACGATCTAATAATTTTAAAGTTAAAAAAATATTTAATTTTCTTTTTTTTATAAAAAACTATAACAAAATTCAATTTTTCAGATCAAATTTTAACTTAAATCATGGCTCAGCAACCTTTTGAGTTCAAAGAGCCATTTTTAATATATTGTCTGTTAAAAAATAAATCAAGGGAGCTACTTATCGCATTATGGTCTATTTTTACTTGTCAAAAGAACTTTCTAATATTTGGAATCTCCAGACATACCGCAAGATAGTCACTACAATATTTTTTGAATATCCAAATAATAGTATACATACGAAAGCCTTGTTGAAGAAATTGATAGCAAATAATGTAAATCTCCCAACCTCAATAGAAGTATTGCTAAGAATGGAAGAAGGCAATATCTACAGAGTAATTTTAAAGTTTATAAAAAAATCAGGTTGTGTTGTTTGAATATGTGATGTAAGTGTAAGTTGTTTATTTGAATTTTTATATATTTAATTATTTTTATCAGTTTGTTGGATATTTTGTATATCTTAACTTTTTGTGACATATTTATTTACTGATTTAAACTATAATATAATGTAATAATATTAATAAAGTGTAAAGATTATGTTACAAAAAATCATATAATATTCTTAGAAAATGTGTGCACAAATAGTGCAAGTAATGTGCAATTTTAATACAAATGAGATTAATTCAAAAGCTCGTACATTTTTTCCAGTTTGTTGGCAAATTTGTACACAACGTTGTAACTTTCTTTTTTTTCAGTTGCAATCTGAAGATGATGAAGCTCGTTAAATGCCTTGTGCTCGTACCAAGTAGACCCAGTTTTGCAGTTGTTAACCTCACGTATATTAAAGGTGCTCGAAGTTTATTCTCGAAGCTTCTCACATAACGCTGCCCTGACAAATTACCACCGGTATTGCAATGCGGTCTAAAACCTTGTTGCTTTGACCCAAATCGCATCCTCCCTTTCATTACTACTAATTAAGTTTAACTATTAACGTCAATAAATTCTTCAAATCAAAACAATTCATAGTTTAAAATAAGTTTTATGTAATACTTTCTCACATAAAATTATCGATATAGTCTTTCTTAATATATTTATATAGTTTATAGTAGTATAAATACACCTAAAACTGTTATGATTTAATTTGATCTTTTTCATCAACCAATACCACTACATTATATTGGATTATTTAATTGTAATACGTCTCAACCTCACTACAATTTTTGTGATAGCATTATTAGAACATTATTATTATATATAGTAACGATATTTTGTTTTTTGTGATAATAGATTTTCAATTTTTTTGAAGAAATGGTAACATTGAATGGTAAAAGTGAATGGGTCCGTGTACAAGCAAAGTTGGCCCTTTGATTTAATTTGTGAAATCCATGCAATATTTTATTTGAAAGAAAATTTGAATTTGGATTATTTGAAAGAAAACCAAAGTTTTACAACTGGTATGGACTATCAAGATTCATCCCTTGAATACCAGCCAAATTAATTTCTCTTTTCTGTACATTTTCTAGAAAATTATAATAATGCCCTACTAATATTTTCAAACGGTAATATATTGCGTTTGATTTATTTATTCATCAGTTTCCATGTCTTAAGATACTTCAAAATTTAGTTAATTTAACATTTAAAAGTATTTACAAAAAGAGTACTACATAATAACATAATACAATCGTAAATTTTTATATATATTTATTTATTAATTATTTTAATATTTTCTAACATACGAATTTACTACAAAATAAATAAATGAAAACATTTTTATTTGAGACATAAATAGATTAAACTGTATCAATAACTGAAAACAATTGGTATTCAAAAATGTTATATCTCCAGAGTTTTACTTTAAATAAAGATTTATGTTATTGCTTGTAGTCAATAAAAAAAGAGCAGTAAAATAAAGCGTCAGACATATTTTGCCTTTACTTACTTTCGTCAATATTCCTTTTGTGTGAATTTCACGTATCTTCCGGAACATCAAATATGATCGGTCTGCAAATGCCCTCGGAGGGTGAAGGTCCTGGCTGCTGGCAGGACAATCCGGGCTCGCAGCTTCCGCTGAAACCCTGCTCACCCCCGCACGGCTCACCCTCGGTCCTGGCGCATTCCTGACAACATCTGCAACACACAAATACAAAGGAAGATGTTACATGCCAAACGCAGTTTTTCCGGGCGACAAAAAATATAAAAAACTTGGGAGAGAGAAGAGAAGGAAACGTGAAAGAAGAAAGTTCGTCGTGAAAAATTGCCGCCTCATTTATTATTCCATAACCTCAGATGGGACAAAAAATAACACACACACACAAACACACATTTATACATATACACATATAAACCTAATTTTAATTCTATTCGGTTTTACCGAACTTTCCAGCAGGACCAGCCGCATTGTTCGGTCCTGCGAAACTTTATGACATTATATCTGGTAATTTATTATTAAACTTTATTCCGCAGCTATAATTATCATTTTCCAGCCGATAAATCGCGGCCCGGATTCGCATTACGTAATTTCCAGAGCGTTTGTTTGTTTTTTTTTCGTTGTTGTGGCTGCTGCACGTTGCAACGGGTAAAAAATTGTATAATTTTGTACATGGACATGTTTGAAACTTGAATACATAAATTATATGTTGAAGGTGAAACGAGGCGGCTCGAAAATTTATCCGAAACGTAGTTTGGGTGTGAAAAAAAATTATATGAGAGTAGTGTATCCAGCGTACATTTATAACTGGGGGGGTAATTAATTTTCTGTTTCTGAAACTAAATTAATTAAAGCCGAAATACGTTTCGCTATCGTGTCTCCTCGAAACTGAAATATGAGATTCCTTGCATTTCGTTACGTGTGAAAAAAATACAACATCCATGATCATTATAGCAAACGAGAAACATTTCTTTTTGAGATCAATAACAAGTATTTTTTTTA